TTACTAATACATTCGTTGCATGATTAAAGAATGTTTTGTGGACTACATGAATATGTGCTGGATATGATCAAGGATCGCACTGATGTCATTTGCTTACTCAGTACTCAGTGTAGAGTCTGTCTGATATCAAAATACAGCTACATCTGATTACTGGGTCAGTGAAGATTTCACACGCTTCTCTCCAAAGTTCTTCAAGAAAACTCGTAACTATATTATGAATTTCTATTTCTTTCTTTTTTGTTTTTATTTCAACATGAATAAAGTGACCATGCAGGGCTGCTTTTGTAAAGTTATTATGCTTTATATTCCGTGATGTAGTACACAGTTCATGTAACTAAATAAAATGTTGTAATTTCTAGACTCAAATGTTGATTCTAAATTGCACCCTCACAATTTCAAGGAACCCTTTTCATGTTTTAGAAGCATACTCATTTCTCTTTTGCAAGCTAGGCCTACATTTAATAAAAAAGTCAACTTAGTTCAATCAAACGTGCAAATGAAGAACTCATTTCATTGAGAATACAAGAACATTGTTTTGTTAAAGTAATAGTTGATGGAAGATATCGTAATTGACAAGCCAGATGATCTTATGACAGTCTTTTTTAATCGCAGTTGAAAAATAAATAATATTAATAACAGCAAGTGTTTCATTCCCTCATCGTGTGACTGATATGGCCTCTCTGAAAAAAAAAAAACACTGATCATAAAAGGGTCAAAGATGAAGCGCCCCATTTTTTATATACACAGAAAGCATATTAAATGCAAGTACCGTGTCTACTTTAAAGTTCCAAGTAACTTTTGTGAAAATAAAATGTCAAAATATGGGTGAAATAGCTAATCGTCATTCAGTGTAACTGATATATTTGTGTAAAAATGAAACAACATACTCATTCTGACCTGTACTTATTAAAATATATACGAAAAAAGTGATCATACTAAATTTTATTATATTTTAAATGATTAAAAACCACTGGCTTACTGGTAAAACCTAGACAGTTGTAAAGATTGACAAAGATTTAAAATGACAATGAATTAGTTTTTAGGGGCTGCACTGTGATCCAGAGACTTTTAATGTCTTCTAATGAGTTTTTGCCATAGTCTGCAAATCATGGTAAAAATGTGTGATAGTCATTATTGTTGCACAGGAAAAATAAAATGAAACAGGACACATTCTCATTTATGGGGAATTATTATTATTATTTTTAAAGCTTTTATTGCTTCGATGCTTGAAAACTCCTTTTGGTGTTTGACTTTGTGATTAAATCGTTGAACCCCAAAAATATGGCTACATTATTATAGACATGGTGAATGTGCGTTCTGTAAACCAGTTGTGACAGTATCATGATGTACAATTAGGGAAATTGTGGACATGAATGTAGAACAGGGAATTCCCACAACACCAAAAAAGGTTCATAATAGAACTGCAAGGGGTTTGAGAGATTGTGACAAATATGTCAATACAAAAACAAACAAATAGATCAATAAGAATACATAAACAACACGTACAATCAAAACAAAATACAACCCTTAAATAATATTACTCTTAAATCTTAAATGCAAAGCTATTACATATACTTTGTATATAGGGTGAATTCATTTAAACTTGATTGTACTGTGCTCAATGGCTTTTTCAATTTCAATTGTCTTTCATTAAATGGACACTATTTCTTTAAACAATAAAATACATTTGGCTGAAGCAATATGAACCTGGTGATTGTGGCTACACCTCAAAGAAGGACTCCCTCATCATGAAAGGAAGTAAGCCCTCTGATGTTCATATTTTCATTTCTAGATTATTAGGTTGCTCACTATATGTAAACCAACATTCCTGTGACCTTGAACCTTCACTAATTCTACTCATATTCATTCAATAAACTGACAATCAGTTATTATTTTATAATTGACATGCATAAATATACCTAAATGCATTGATTTAGTTTATGAGCAGGTTAGAGAACTGCTTTAGGGAGTATTTATCATCTTCATTATCACCTGGCTATGTAAATAAATAAATACTATTTTCCCTGCATGAAAAATTTTGTTTGGCAAATGTAATACAGGGTTACACTTTATTTTAAGGTGTCCTTGTTACAGTGTAATTATACATTTAAGTAATATATGGTTAGGGTTAGGATTAGGTTTAGGGTTACTTGCATAATTATGCATAATTTATTGTTATTATAATTGCAAGTACATGTAACATGTGACACAAGGACACCTTAAAATAAAGTGTTGCCTAATAAAGTGAATGCTCAACTTGTTAGATTAAATCAGTTTGGCCTAAACCAACTAAATCGTGTTGATCTAACTAAACAGATTTATTTTGAATGAACTAAATTAAACTGTGTGTAAAAACTTTCTTCAATTAAATGAAGTAAGGGTAATGAATTCATTTTTTTCCCTCTGTGCTACACTCTAAAAAATGCTGGGTTAAATACAACCCAGTGCTGGGTAAAATAGGGTCAAACCCAGCAATTGGGTTGTTTTGACCCAGCGGTTGGGTTACTACCCAGAAGGTTGGGTTAAACATTTAACAACCGCTGGGTCAAAACAACCCAATTGCTGGGTTTGTCCCTATTTTACCCAGCACTGGGTTGTATTTAACCCAGCATTTTTTAGAGTGTAGTCACTCTTTTAGAACCATATCTCATGCATTCATTGCAGTTAGAGATATATTCAGTCCATATTATAATTGTTTCAAAGCACAAGATCTTCATAATATGTAGTGAGATCTGTGAGAACATTTGGTTTAATCACCAAAACAAAACAGTGTGAAATTCTTTTTACACTCTAAAAAATGCTGGGTTAAATATGGACAAACCCAGCGATTGGGTTGTTTTCAACCAACAGTTGGGTAAAATGTTTAACCCAACCTTCTGGGCAGTAACCCAATCACTTTTTTAGAGTGTAGTTTATGCAAGATACATGTTTCAAATCAGTCATGTTGCACACCACGCAGTTCTATGGGATCTACAATTAGGTCCATATATATTTGGGCAAAGGCACAATTTTTGTTATTTTTAGCTGTTGACTAAAACATATTCAAGTTACAGTTATATCATGAATATGGACTTAAAGTGCACACTCTGAGCTTTAATTTGAGGGTGTTCTCATCACAACTGGAGGAAAGGTTAAGGAGTTACAGCTCTTTAATTTGTACATCCCCCCTTTTTCAAAGGACCATAAGTAATTGGACAGTTGACTCAAAAGCCATTTCATGGACAGATGTGAGCCATTCCTTTCACAACATCCAGCCAAGAGAAGAACACTCTCGAAGAGGTAGACGTGTCACTGTCAAAGTCTACAATCAAGAGAAGACTTCACCAGAGCAAACACAGAGGCTTCACCACAAGGTGCCAACAAGGCCAGACTAGACTTTGCCAAAAAACATCTAAAAAAGCCAGAGCACTTCTGGAAAAGCATTCTTTGGACGGCTGAAATTAAGATCATCCTGTACCAGAACGACGAGAAGAAAAAAGTCTAGAGAAGGCTTAGAACAGCTCATGATCCAAAGCATACAACATCATCTGTGAAACATGGTGGAGCGGTGTGATGGTGGGAGCATGCACTGGTGGTCACATGTCACTGGTGTTTTGTGATGACGTGACAGAAGACAGAAGCAGTCGGATGAATTCTGAAGTGTATAGAGATATACTCTCTGCCCAGATTCAGTCAAATGCAGCAAAGTTGATTGGACGGCGCTTCATAGTATAAATGGACGATGACCCAAACCATGCAGCAAAAGAAACCCAGGAGTTTCTGAAGGTAAAAAAAGTGGATTATTCTGCAATGGCCAAGTCAATCTCCTGATTTAAACCCAACTGAGCATGCATTTCACTCGCTGAAGACAAAACTAAAGGCAGAAAGAGCCAAACACAAACACACAACAACTGAAGTCAGCTGCAGTAAAGGCCTGGCAAAGCATCACAAAGGAGGAAACCCAGTCTCTGCTGATGTCCAAGAGGTCCAGATTTAAGGCAGTCATTGCCTGCAAAGGATTCTTAACAAAATATTAAAAATGAACATTTTATTTATGATTATATTTATTTGAAACCCTGAAAATGGGGGGACTGTGTATAAAAACGGTTGTAATTCCTAAGCATTTTATGTTATATTTTTGTTAAACCCCTTGAATTAAAGCTGAATAAAGTCTGCACTTCAATTTCATCTTGATTGCTTTATTTTAATTCTATTCTGGTGGCATACAGAGCCATAATTATAAAAATTGTGCCAGTGTCCAAAGATATATGGACCTAAATGTATATCTAGAAATGTACAGATTTACCAAATAATTGATTAAACTTTCATAGAAAAGCATTAAACTGAATGAGAAGAGAGCTAAATTAAAAGTTTGATAGCAATGGCATTTACATTTACAAAGGCAGTTACTGCGAATGAAAAGTTTGCATAGATGATTGATTTGTGTCATAACTTATTTGTGATGTGAAAAGGAAACTTGAGATTAGTACTAAGAGTTTTGAAAACGTACAACTTGCCTGTGAAAACTGCACCAATAAAAAATAGATAAATACATAAAAAATAAATAAATAGCAGACACAATACATCTGGTCCTATAGTGAATCCTCATATGTTTGCACAGCATAGCAGTTTCTACCAACAAATCATTGTAAATAAGAAATTGTATGCATTTATAACATGACAATTTGCCCACATGACAGTTATGAAAAAGGACATTTAGTTTGGAAGGTTTAATGTTTTTTTTTTATTAGTCTACTTTTGGCAACATTTGTGATCCTGCAATTCCAATTAGATAAAACAAATAAATGAATGAATGAAATAATATATAGCCTAACTTTCTGACATCCCAAGACCATAGAAAAGTAGTGCCCTAAACTGAATATTATCTGTTGCAAAACTTTTCAATATATAGCTCACTCCAAAATAAATGTATGACATCAAAGTACCGCGAGAGCATGCGGCTCCTTATGCCTTCGAATCGCTCTCGCGGTACTTTGATGTCAAACGCCGATCGCCTCTTCAAGCCGAACGCGCCTACTGTCACGTGATGCGCACGAGAATTATCGTCCGGATAGAAATCACGCAGGAAAATGTCCGAGAAGGGTAAGCACCATGCTTTTCACGTTCTATCACTTAATACACATTTAAATAAGACTGCATGTTACCAAATGTCTCTGTCTGACGTTACAACAAGCCTACTCATCACGAAAGGACCTTCAGAGTTGCTGAATTACGATTACACACGTATAAACACACGTCCTTCAGTAGGCTATGCAGTACAATTCACATTAAAATACATATTTTAAGCAGTTTAAACGATTCTTTTAATTATATAGCATTTTAGCACGAATATTCACACACTAGCAAAGCACAGATAGACACATGCAAAACCAATGAATGTTTGTGGCATGAGTCATGTAACCCACAGACCCCTCAGTCCTTCATATGTGATTATATAAGAGAAACCTGGGATCTGTCTACTAGAACAGCAACAATAATGTGCTCCTGAAAGCCTGTTGGAATTGTCCTGTCAAAGACAGAGACACATTTGCTTGAGTTGACACCCAAATCGCTCGGTATGCAAACAAAATCTACAAAACCATTTTTTGAAGGTCCACCCTAAGAAGAAGAGTTCAGGCTTTGCATTATTAGCAGGTTATAGACACCAAGTCTATATAGTGTGCCAAGTCATACTCAGGAGTCATGCCATGTCAAACTAATCTCTCTTTACTTCAGATGCAGGTGAAAGCGATACTGTGCTCTGTCTGTTGGCTGCAGTAGTGGGCTATTTCTGTGTCTGGCTTATGTCTGGAATCCAGCAAGCTTTCGTCATTAGCCAGGGTTATCACGTGAAGATGCTGAGTGCTCACAGTGATAGTTCTCTCTGGGAGCTCCTGTATCCCACCTGGATGGAGAACAGTGGCATCGCATTTAACGGCTTTTCTCCTTGACCTCGTGCTGTATCTGCCAGTGTTTCTACTCACAACAGACTTAATGCTTACTTTAAACTTGCTTCTATGCCTTCAGGGGGGTATTCCAGAAAGCAGGTTATGTGACATACCCAGGTATGTTTGAGGATAAGCGAGCGGATAACCTCAGCTTTCGGTTCCAAAGTCGGAGGTTACTCTCAGGGTATGGCAACTTGCTCTCTGAAGATAACCTGCTCCGGAGCAGGTTATGTTCCAGGGTTAGTTCACTTCAGCGCACGTGTGATCTACTGACGAGCCTTCAGTAGGCGCGACAGAAACCGCACAACATTATATAATGTTACAATATGTAATATAGCCTATTATATATATATATATATATATATATATATATAATAAATGAAACATTAATTTGTCATAGTGTTTTATCATTTATACAGATAACTGTTATATATATATACCAATAAAATAAATAATAACCATATTAGAATAATATATCACCTTATTTATTACTTATATTAGCGCTTCATCATTAACATATACAAAAAAAAAATGTTTTTAATTTATTTATTAAATTTTTATCATCTCACACATGGATCGGCATTTTCTATAATGTCTAAATTCTAAATCAAAATACATATCTGATGTGACTTATAATAATTAGCATCAAACAAACAATATAATTCATATTCTCAAGGATTAAAGATTAAATGGAAAAAAAAAAATGATTGCACAACCATCAATTAGGTGGCGATATGCACTAAGCATGTAAACGACCATTGAACAAAAGAAGAAGAAAGAAACAGCATGGTACGCTTTTTCTTAGCATGCGTTTCCATAGTGATTCGTCCTCTGTTGAGAATGTCTTGAGTCTTAACCAGGAACATACTCTGAGTTGAATGAACTTACTCCCGGATGCTTTTTTGGAACCACTTACCTCGAGTAAGCAAGGTTTGGGGTTAATCAACCGAAAGTTCAGGGTTTAGCTGACGGTAAGTTAACCGTGTTTTCTGGAATACACCCCGAGGTATGACTCAAAGACACGCATGCAATATGAAAACTTGAATTTGTTTTTAATTTCTGTTTTAAAATTGTGATATTTTTATTTAGGCATAAAGTTCTAAAATGTAGCATAATGAAGAAAAAAAGTCTGATTAAAATAAACTAACAAATTCAATTCTTTTTTAATTAAATTAAATGTAATTTTAAAATTAAAAAAGTAATAAATAAATAATATAATTTATAAAAATAAATGCAAATACAATAAATAAATAAATATTTATTTAAAGAACATTTGTGCTCAAAATCAAAGAGAGGCTAGAAGAAATTGAGCTTTTCTTTATTGTGGTCTCATTTGTCACCCTTTTGTAGACTTATCTGGAATACTGAAACGTGTGGTTTGGAAGTAAGTCAGGATTAATTTAAATATATTATTAAAAAAATGAATATTACTGTGTTCTGACAGACACCGAAACCTTTGATGTGCTCGAACTGGCAGAGCATGTCAAGAAACAACGGTGGTGGAACAAAATGTTTGGCAAAAATACCTCTGGACCCGCTGCTGAGAAGTACTCCGTTGCAACACAGTTGGCCATTGGAGGAGTGAGCGGATGGTAGGTCATTATGAATATTGATGCATATCAAAACACTGAGTAGAGTATAAGTAAACAGCTTGCTCTTGTGTCCCTATCAGGTGTGCAGGGTACTTGTTTCAGAAAGTTGGGAAGCTGGCAGCATCGGCTGTAGGCGGCGGCTTCTTTTTGCTCCAGGTAAACTGTAAAAGCCAAGTGCTTATCGTGATTGTCATGTTGAGAGTGTATATTGCTTATGATTGTAAGCAATCTCCGGTGCACTTTCAGATTGCTCATCACACAGGCTACATTAAAGTAGACTGGAAAAGAGTTGAGCAAGATGTGAACAAGGCAAAGAAGCAGCTGAAAATGAATTCAGACAAGCCGCCTAAAGAAGTGAGAACTAAATTTAATGAGGTGAGAAAATACTGTTGGAATTTGTATTTGCATTTATGTAATTGTAATCAGTTTTTTCTCATGTGCTTCAAAACACACAATCACGATATATCATGGTATTGTAGTTGATATCAAATAGTGTATTCATGGTATTGAGAAAGAGAATGCAAACGAATGCAGAATGTAGTATGCACTTATTTTTTCCCCTCGACTGCCAGTCAGACTCTAAACAAGCACCACACACACACACACACACACACACTGAAGAAAATGTCAGAGAGGCTGATGCGAGGCAACTTTAGATACCCCCAAAATACACAGATATTCATTTGAACTTTGTGTCTTGATATCAGTTCTTAAATCCAAGTCTAATTTTTTAGACTGTGCCTTTTTACCCGAGTAAAGCTTCCAGTAATCCAATCCAATAATCGTAAAAAGCATTGGTGCTTCTGATAAGAAACTCTGTTACATGTACCTAGGGCTGTGCAATATATCGAAATATCGCAAATGTACATATCGCAATATGCATATCGCTACGGCTTGCAATATTTGGGGCCATGAAAAAAAGACACAGAGAAAATCACTCACTGCTCTTACCTAAATAACTTTTGTAGCTTAAATAAGAATCAGCGCATATTGAATTCATAGAGTAAATACTACGCAGTGCTTTATTTTTCCTTTTTATTATTCAGTTCCTAAACTCATGTTAAAATGAAATAAAATGCTTGAGTAAAACACTACCGTTCGCTTTCAGAAGTTGTTGTAGGGGTGCTTTCTTTTCACAAAAACAAACTATAAGTGAAAGTTATAATAGAATCAGAATCAGAATGAGCTTTATTCACCACTTAAGTGTGCGCAAACATAAGGAATTTGTTGTTGTTTTACAGGAACTCTTGGTACATACATACATACATACAAATATAGTTGGTTAATTAGCTAAAACACTAAAGAGGAGCTTATTTACTTAAACTGTTAATTATTTATGTACTTATGTCTTCAGTCATGATAAGTTTCTGAAGAATACTTTGTGTGCAGTTAGGCTATACAGTGTGAATATACTGTTTATACACATGTATAATAAGTAGCAGTTAAATATAAGTATAAAATGCATATAAGTAGTTAGGGGTATTATATTCATAATTGTAATTTTAGTATTACGTTAATGCACCAAACAATAGGGTTCCCTGTATAGCTTACAGCATTAGTTGATATCTAACTGAAGTATGAATCGAATCAAATCAGATCCATTTGTGTGATACCATACACCGTGAGCTGGTTACCCTAAAAATCTCATACTGTTAAAACCCTAATCTAAGGAAAAACATTCAGGTCATATTAAACCTTTTTTTCTTTTTGCCCCCACAACTGCATCAGTGAGAATTTGGGTGAAATGTTGTTAATTGGCATGACAACAACATCAGAATGGTCCACAAATTAGTCATCTTTTTCTCTAAGCAAAATACTATTTCTTTCTTTCTTTGTTCTCTTGATTTTGGGGAGAATATGAGGTTTGACTAGATTGACCCAGACATTATTTGCCAAACATTTCATCTGATATTTGTAAAGCTGCAGTCACACTAGACTTTGTGCACATGAGAAGTCACACTTTTAAAAACACATAGTTAACATATAATACATGTAAAAATATGCATTATATTGCACTTTGGTCACGTCTACGTCATATGAATTTGCTGGTCAGAGTTCATCCCCATACATACATTTTGACATTTTTCCGGTCTTCACGTGTGTATGAATGGACGTCACTGGATTGAAGCGTGTCGTTGATTTAAAGCAGGGACCGTGCCCTTGTGTTGAATTCATTGAAATGTTTTCTCTCCTCGTAGGTGCAAGTGTTTGTCAAGAAGAACATTGTTCTCACTGGAGGTTTCGCTGGTGGATTTCTGCTTGGTCTGGCTTCATAGGATCTCTTATCAAACAGCAGATTACAGCTTTTGTGTGATATTGCAGCTTGTATTTAACTTGGATCAACATTAGATTGTTAGGATGTGATTGTGCATTGCTTTAGTTTGTACTTAAAGCCCCTGTTACATTTTCCTTTATTTGAACACTTTGCTGTATTATTTTGGTACAAACTATTTTTTGACACATGACTTGATAAGTCCGCTTGTTTAAACATGTAAATAGTTCAAACATTTGAAATGGGCCCTTATCTAAACATGGTGACTAAGTGCATTTAATTGTTCAAACTCGATGTTCAGAATCTGGACATTACCTCAAAGACCAAGGGGTCACTAAAAGTTGTAATTTGAATGAATAATGACAGAAATCTTCAAAGTAAATAGACAATCAGGTTTTAAAAAAATTCTGGTTTGCCTTTTCGTCTTTGTTGTATTGATATCCACGAAATACATTTCATCTATTTTCCTAAATTACAGCTAATGCTCAGCACTTCATGATATAATATTCCACTTATATTAAAGCAGCACTCTGTAACTTTAGGCGCTCTAGCGGTTAATAAACAGAACTGCACACATCCCGCGGAAGAACATTTTAACCGGAGCTACTTCTCTAAGTTTATGTCTCTGGCGATTCACGCAGGTATGTGTTCCTCCGCAGCGGTGACCAGGCTACAATAGTCCAAATATAAGTACTTATTATAAGTGTGCCGTAGTGATTCGGAATAAGACAGAAACGCGGTTTGGAAGATGAATTCATGATGCACTCGCCCATTATATATATACATCTAGCAAATTTTGAACACAGAAAAACAACACTTCCTCATGGCTTGAATCACATCCTCACAAAGGCTTTCAATGTATTTGTTGGCTGTTAAAAATACAAAAGTCATAAAATGGTCAAACTGCTTCTAGCCTGCAGTCTTCATGCAAAACAAGGTTAAACTAACATTGAGACCATGAAGCTACCTTGTAAACATCTCTGTATGGCACATGCCTGTTTTTGACAAGGATCTTTCTGTGGCATCTTATTTTAAGATACGTACATGCAAGCTGCAGCTTCGAGGGAAAATGAATTCCAGTTGAAGCTGTCACTTTTTGTAAACGCATGAACAGCGACGTCACCGGCGTGCAGCTGACTGTGCAACTCCAAATTTCTTCTTTATTGTCAGCGAAATAAACAGCACAACATATCACAACTGCAGGACGTTTCACATTCAGTACAGTGGCTCTGTGTTGCTCTCTAGTGCAGGAGATGCGCTACAGCATCATGAACACATTACAGTGTTAACAGCATTCTTTAATGAACATAACAGTTATCGGTCATAATAACAACAACAACGATAAACTGTAAGAATAGCCTACACAAATAAAGAGGAAAAGACAAAGTAAATGAGGGTATACATGTACACAGGGGCGGATTTAGTGAACTGGGGGCCCCAACTCCAAATTTCTTCTTTATTGTCAGCGAAATAAACAGCACAACATATCACAACTGCAGGACGTTTCACATTCAGTACAGTGGCTCTGTGTTGCTCTCTAGTGCAGGAGATGCGCTACAGCATCATGAACACATTACAGTGTTAACAGCATTCTTTAATGAACAACAGTTATCGGTCATAATAACAACAACAACGATAAACTGTAAGAATAGCCTACACAAATAAAGAGGAAAAGACAAAGTAAAGGAGGGTATACATGTACACAGGGGCGGATTTAGTGAACTGGGGGCCCCAGGCAAAATATAGTAATGGGGCCCTATACATCTGCACACATTTTCCTAGATCAACCTTGAGGTTCCTTTTTTGTTGTGATGCTTGCTAAAAAGTAGCCAGAATACATTACCTAAAATGCGTAACCTGGATTATATTACAAACTACAGTTTTCAAGTACAATGATCAACTGCAATCTACCCATCTCTGTCTGTGTTGTAAAAAGTTCTGTACACTGACCTTCTTGGTATGTCGGAATGGAATAGTTATTTGAAAGACCTATCTGTAACTGGATTTGAAGGGCAAGTTATTGTGATATTTTACAAGTGAATTAAGAATTGCACTTTTTACTAGCCGCAATTCAAATTTTGATATCAAGAATTTGTGTTTTTTTGCTGGTGATATCAAGAATTACCATTATGTAACTAGTCAATGTTCCACTCCTGAAATCAAGAATTATCATTTTAACTGGTCAAGGCGACTTGCCATATACAACAAAACATATTCCTTCTCGGTCACCGATCCCCCTCCTCCTCCTCTTCCTCTTCCTCTTCCTCTTCCTCATCCTCCTCTTCCTCTTCCTCCTCTTCCTCTTCCTCCTCCTCTTCCTCCTCCCCCTCCTCTTCCTCTTATTAAGAAGTGCACTTTTTACTAGCCGCAATTCAAATTTTGATATGAAGAATTTGATTTCTGTGAGTGATTCCATTTTTGATATCAAGAATTTGTGTTTTTTTGCTGGTGATATCAAGAATTACCATTATGTAACTAGTCAATGTTCCACTCCTGAAATCAAGAATTATCATTTTAACTGGTCAAGTCGACTTGCCATATACAACAAAACATATTCCTTCTCGGTCACCGATCCCCCTCCTCATCCTCCTCTTCCTCCTCCTCCTCCTCATGCTCCTCTTCCTCCTCTTCCTCCTCCTCCTCCTCCTCCCTGTCGGAAGGAATTGAATGGAGCGCATGCGCTTTGCTGATGTGGAAGTGCTTTACAGTGATAAACAAGGGAACAAATCAGAGAAAACGCATACTGTTAGACTGCACTTCATATAATGGCAGTGAGCGCTGTACATTTAGAGTCAGACGCATTTCTAGTCTGTATGAATCACGCTCTGAGCACGGAGAAAGAGGAAGTAATGGGGCTCTGCATCGGCGAGGTTTGGGTTGCTCGTGTTTGTGATGTGTGGTTTTGTATAACTGCGCGTGGACGACAACAGCTGTGCTTATGAAACTCTGTAAATGACCAACAGGTGGACACAAACCGCATCGTGCACATTCATTCTGTCATAATTCTGCGTCGATCAGACAAGAGGAAAGACCGAGTGGAGATTTCACCAGAGCAGCTGTCAGCAGCGTCCACCGAAGCGGAGATATCCTTTGACATACTCTCTCTTACATATAATATATGCATTATTATTTATATAACCTTTTTACGGTTATGTATGGGCCTGTTTTTATTATCTCGTTTTGCTTCATTCTGCAACACAAACCTTGTCGTAAAAACCTGGTTCTATAGCAGTAGCATGCTTTTGGACAAGTACCACGGTAATACCACGGTATTTCTTAGGCTGAAGAACCATGTAACTGCAGTGATCTTTCAGCACCATGGCATGCATCAAACACTCCCACTGATTTGTTTTGAAATGTATAATGTTCTGGGTAACCGTTTTTTAATAATAGCTTCCAATATTAAAAATGGCTATAATATTTAATACTTTTTCAGCAGAAATTACATTTTGAAACGTAGCAAGGGGATCGGTAAAATAATCCATAGAAAACGTATCCGTGTAAAATTACGGTTGAACCGCTGATGTCACATGGATTATTTTACCGATGTCCGTGCTACGTTTCTGGACCTTGATCGTGGTAGTTACCTTGCCGTCTATGGGAGGGTCAGAGAGCTCTCAGAATTCATCAAAAATATCTTAATTTGTGTTCCGAAGATGAACAAAGGTTTTACGGGTTTAGAACGACACGAGGGTGAGTAATTAATGACAGAATTTTAATATTTGGGTGAAATACCCCTTTAACTGGGGAAGTCGTGGCCTAATGGTTAGTGAGTCGGACTCGTAACCCAAAGGTTGTGGGTTCGAGTCTCATACCGGCAGGGATTGTAGGTGGGGGGAGTGAATGTGCAGCTCTCTTCCACCTTCAATACCACGACTGAGGTGCCCTTGAGCAAGGCACCGAACCCCCAACTGCTCCCTGGGCGCCGCAGCATAAATGGATGCCCACTGCTCCAGGTGTGTGTTCACGGTGTGTGTGTGCACTTTGGATGGGTTAAATGCAGAGCACTAATTCCAAGTATGGGTCACCATACTTGGCCACATGTCCTTTCACTTTCAAATCACAGATTCTAGTTTTTTTTGCATTTTACGAAATGTCCCAACTTTTCTGGAAATGGGGTTGTACAGTAAGACCATGAGGTTTTGCATAAACTTGGGTGCCGCTGTTATTAAAGATTGCATTTTACGAAATGTCCCAACTTTTCTGGAAATGGGGTTGTACAGTACGCATAAAAATCTAACATTCAAAATGTGATTTATTCTAGCAAATAAGGAAAGTTTTCAGATTTCCAGTATTCTGTCTACTATTTCTAGTTTAGTTCACCAGTCAAGAAAATTTGTAACATTATCAAATTATTCAGTAAAATCTATTCTCAGATCGCGCTGAATAATAAAGACCATGAGGTTTTGCATAAACTTGGGTGCCGCTGTTATTAAAGCAAAAGGTCAGATTGTTTTTACACGTGATACACCTCAGTAAACGTGAATGAATAAAAAGGAGGACATACTAAATACATTCTAATACCTTCCAAAATACATGTTTCAGTTAAACACTTCACTCGAAATGCTCATAATATAATAATGATGTAACGGGAAAAAGTTTTAAATGATAAAAATGCACTAGTTGACTAGTGGTTTCAGACATTTGGACCCCATTATGTTCATATATCAGTGGACTTCATGTACTGATTCATAAAGCCTTAAAGTGTAATCCTGATGTTATTTTAGCCCATTTTCTTAATATGAGGCACAGGTTGGCTGAGATGACGGGACGTCCCATGAGGGTTGTGGGCTGGTACCACTCTCATCCACACATCACCGTGTGGCCATCGCATGTTGGTTAGTTGGTTTTTTTTAATGAATGCATGGAATTATGCATTATTATCTTCCCTTTATTTGAATAAAATTCCAATTATTCTCGCATTATACAGATGTTAGGACTCAAGCAATGTATCAGATGATGGATCAGGGTTTTGTTGGACTCATCTTCTCATGCTTTATAGAAGATAAAAACACAAAGGTATATTAAGCTCATCACCATGAAGAGTTATTATTTTATTGTCACGTTTTTACCATGCCGTTTCTTTCTATTTCTCTTGTAGACTGGTAGAGTCCTGTACACCTGTTTCCAGTCAGTACAAGCCCAGAAAGGCTCAGAGTAAATAATCTGCTTTTTATTTGAATGAATAACTGAAAGCTTTACATTTTTAGATTTGCAACTCAGATCCATGCATCTTACATAATCTAAAACATTAGATTATAGTTCCATAAACAAAAAGATACATTTATGTGTGTCCACAGCTGACTGGTAGCGTATGTTTTGTTTATCTGATCTCTCAGGATTTGATGAGAAATAGTTTTTGTGCAGTGCTTTTGCTCATAAAAATGGAAATTGCATTCCTTTCTTATGACAAGGTATGAGCGGATTGAGATCCCCATCCATGTAGTCCCACATGAAGCCATCGGGAAAGTATGTCTGGAGTCTGCCGTGGAACTACCCAGAATCCTCTGTCAAGAAGAACAGGATACATACAGAAGGATTCACAGGTATTCCTTGTGGATTATGTTTCAGATTGTTTAATTTAGTGAATGGTTACTCAGGACCTCATGCAACATTTTTTTTGCACCAATATTTCAGTTTAACTCACCTGGATCCAATCACAAAGATACATAATGGATCAGGTAATTATGAAATCTACTTTGTATTTCCTGAAGGAATTAGTAGTGGTTTTGGGTCAATAAAATCAGAGCTGTTTTCTCATCGTCATGACATTTGTTTTCTCATTTGCACACAAATGAATGTGTTACAGCATCTTTTCAGTGTGAAGCAGCTGTAGATTGTTAAATAAGATCAATCAAACACATTCCATGTGCAACACTGCATAGAAGATCAATTATTCAATTAATAATGCAAAAAGATTAGTTTTTAAATAAGTGATAATTTGTCATTTTAAAGGGGTCATATAATGTTGCTAAAAAGAACATTATGTTGTGTATTTGGTGTAATGCAACGTTTATGCGGTTTAAGGTTAAAAAACACATTATTTTCCACATACTGTACATTATTGTTTCTCCTCTATGCCCCACCTTTCTGAAACGCGTCGATTTTTACAAAGCTCATCGGTCTGAAAAGCGAGGTGTGCTCTGATTGGCCAGCTATCCAGTGTGTTGTGATTGGCTGAATACCTCAAGCGTGTGACAGAAATGTTACGCCCCTCACCATAGTGTGATACCGGAGCGACGAGACAAAACCAATAAAACCTATTATAAACGAGGCATTTGTTGCATCCAGTGGGGACATAATTACTGATTATAATGACTTATACTGTCTTTTTACGCGCAGCGTTGCATCGCACCGCATAAACAAAAAACCATGTCTGCATTTGTGATCGGAGAAACTACAAACACAAGCGCTACTCTACACTGCTCAAAACTCGCGTTTGAATCGTCAGTGACAAATCCTTTAAATATGTAAACGTACTTACAGACTGTGAGTCAGAAGCGCCAGACTGTCCTTGCAAAGTTGGAACTGCCCAACTTTATAGAAACAGCCTTTGTGCACAGATGCATTGTAGGCTACTCTCCCAGGAAACATCCCTTGTCCTCCGTAAAATGCGCTGCACACATCTGAATATTTGAGTTGAAGTGTTCTGGAACAGTGTTGTAAATACAACTTAACCACTGATTTCTAGTCGTGTCCTCTTTTGGAAGACCAAACAAAGTAGTTTTGCTTTCACAACGAAGCACACAGCGTCTTCACGACATGGCTGCAGCGTCAACAATACTACAACGAGAATGAAAGTTACGCCTTCTTTCTTTGCGTGAATATTTGGGCGGCGTTATGCAAATCTTCCCACATCGTGACGTAGATATGTGGGGGCATGTTTAAACAAGGCATTTTAGGTAGGCATGGTTTATAAAGAATATCTCTTTGGATTTGAGACTTTAGTCTTAGCAACTTTACAGATCTTCTTTATGCACCAAGAGCTTGTAACTCTTGGTGCATAAAGTTTAAAAATTTAAATTGCATCATATGACTTTAAAATATTATTTTAGTTTTTTTCTGTATAGTGTGGGACTAACCTAGTTTATTTCACAATTGTGAAGTGTGTAACATTTAGAACCATTTTTACAGTTGTGCTTTTGTAATTTGCATGTATGTGTGCTTCTCAGTGTTCACTAAAACCCTGTGCAGTCAGATGTCGGCCATTAGCGGCCCGCTGCTGCAGTGGCTGGAAGACCGACTGGAACAGAACAAACAAAGTATCATCAAACTCCAGAAAGAGAAAGAGCAACTGACACAAGAACTGGCTTCATTATAAGGAGAATAGTTCCTCTTTTTTTTTTTTTTTGTGAAGTTCTTAAGTTTTTGCACTGAAAGCACTGTTTTTTCTGCCCTACTGCCACATTTTGATCAGGAATTACTGGGAGGGCAAAGACAGGATGTCTGTAATTTAACATTTTGTCAACTCAGCACATTCTCAGTGCTTATATATATATATCTATATATATATGTGTGTATGTATATGTGTTTGTGTATTACATGCTGGTATCTTTGTTGTAGTAGTAGTATGTATACTCACGGAATATTCTTAAAAAGGTTGTTGGTTGTTTTTTTTTCTCTTATGGAGTTGATTTTGATGGTTCTGTAAACGTGACAGTGACAGACATTTTACTGATGCTGTTTTTTTATAAGTTTAATATAAGCTTAGTACATACATGCCAATTTAAAATGACAGTGTGAAATAAAAGGGAGAATCTCTAAATATTATGATTCTTTAAACAATATGATCATGAAATCTAGGCTGGAAGACCGACTGGAACAGAACAAACAAAGTATCATCAAACTCCAGAAAGAGAAAGAGCAACTGACACAAGAACTGGCTTCATTATAAGGAGAATAGTTCCTCTTTTTTTTTTTTTTTGTGAAGTTCTTAAGTTTTTGCACTGAAAGCACTGTTTTTTCTGCCCTACTGCCACATTTTGATCAGGAATTACTGGGAGGGCAAAGACAGGATGTCTGTAATTTAACATTTTGTCAACTCAGCACATTCTCAGTGCTTATATATATATATATCTATATATATATGTGTGTATGTATATGTGTTTGTGTATTACATGCTGGTATCTTTGTTGTAGTAGTAGTATGTATACTCACGGAATATTCTTAAAAAGGTTGTTGGTTGTTTTTTTTTCTCTTATGGAGTTGATTTTGATGGTTCTGTAAACGTGACAGTGACAGACATTTTACTGATGCTGTTTTTTTATAAGTTTAATATAAGCTTAGTACATACATGCCAATTTAAAATGACAGTGTGAAATAAAAGGGAGAATCTCTAAATATTATGATTCTTTAAACAATATGATCATGAAATCTAGAGTGACACACATAATGATTACAGAATGTTTCTTTTCTCTCCTTAACTAAAGTTTAAGTTTGGAATCTGTTTTGAAATCAAACCTCTAACATCTTAAACTCTGTAACACGTTGCATGGGCCACACTTGCAAACAGCTATATTCCTTTTGGTCATTTACATGCAGATTCTCAGTCTAGAATGTTTCTGTGAATGTCAAGTAGCTCCCTGGTTGAACAGTCTGGCGCTTAGACTTTTAAGTAGAAAAGGTGTCATAAAGATGAGCTTTTCCAGATGAAATAGAAATGTGACCCAGGAGCACAAAAGCAGTAAGTTGCTGGGGTGTATTTGTAGCAATAGCCAAAAATACATCGTATGGGTCAAAATTATCGATTTTTCTTTTATGCCAAAAATCATTAGGATAATTATGAAGGTGTCATGTCAGTCTTATGCACACCCCTTCAAGTAAAGTGTAACCAGATATTTTGTAAATTTCCTACCATAAATATATCAAAACTTAATTTTAATGCAAAATAACTGGGTTGAGGGTTGTTTTAACTGTAGTCCTGTCCAACACTCTGTTGTGTTTAGCAGATTTTTTACAAGTTAAGCCACTGGTGCTGACTAATCTTGCCTTGCTGTATTAATGGAAAACTAATTGCATAGCATCTCTGTGTGTGGCGATAAAATATGAATCCAACTGAAACCCCAGTAGTCACATGGTGTTTTATTTGTTGTCACTAGGTGGCACAGGTGTCCTTGTTGAACTGCAGACAGTTTTATTGAACAGACAGACCTTAGTCTCTTTAGATGTGAAACTGGTCAAGCAGAGCAGACTGAATAGGCTTACCTAGAGGTGTATAAAAATATAATTATACATAATGAATTATGATCTTTAATATTTGTTGTATTTACTGTTGTATAAAAGCAGTAAGTCACTCAAGGCAGCAGATATGAGTGCAGTTGAGTTTCTTCATGATATTAATTGTTGGAAAATGAGCTGTGTTCTGATGCGATCAGTCTGAAGCGATCTCACATTGCTCTTGTGGTGACAGTGGAAATGGAAATGGCCCAATGCAGTGTCATGCTCACATACTCTTGACAATATTTTTTACAGCACTTCTGTCCTCGAGAAATGAAATCTCACGGTCTCTAGACATTGTCCAACATATGGAAGTGCAAATTCTCATATAGAGTAAATATCCTTTATTTTATCCAATATTGCTACGTACAGTGGACCGTAAAGTAATACCATTTTGTATCAAGGCGAGGTCTAACACTCCACTAAAATAGAACGGCTTGTGTGTGTGTCTAAAAGCACTTATCCTGGGATTGGAAGCAAGCAGATAATATTAAAGATGTGCTCTGAGACTGATGGAGCGAGCAAAGACGTCTCTCCCTCCTTGCGCATCAACACACTGGTTATTACTCCTGGCAGAACACTGTCATTTATTTAGTGTGAAGGCAAGTTGACTGTAAACCCGAAGCCTCTATAAATCTGAAATGGTTGCTGGGGGAAGGGGTTCGGTCTGTCTGTGTGTAGGAAGTGAGTTTATGAGTGTGTGTTTGGAGGGCATTGTGTTTGATGAGATGCCTAAGGGACCTTGGGCCGATATATTTATGGCAGAGGGGCCAATGAGGTAGTGGACAATGACGTCCCAGAGGCTGACAGTGTTTAATTAACACCTCCAAAATAGGCAGGACAGAGCTCATACGGTTTCACCAGCCCACCAAATTTGGGTGGTTTGGCTCTTGTGGTCTAGACATATGAGATCTGACTCGCTCCTTTTTAAAGCTGCTGTGCTTAATGTATTGTATGTTAAAATACATTTTCCTATTCTAGATCAATATGCAGAGACAACCATAAGTAGGATGACTTTCTGAAAAGTGTAAACATATTAAATGTGCTGACTGAGTGGTGCTATCAAAAGTCTGAAATGGGGAGTTTTAGGTGTCTATTTTGGGAATCTGTTTTTTTTTTTTGAGTAGTGGTGTTTAAATTCTAAAGTGATTCCCTACAATTGTTTACTATTTTATACCCACAGTCCGTGCACATTGATTAGAGTACACTCACTAAAGCACTGTTTCTTGAAATCCAACATGGACAGGACTAATGAGCTGGAAGAGAGTGTGCATGAGAGAATGAGTGAGAGATGCAGTTTAAAATGTTTTCAAATGTATTTCGAGCTGGCTGTAGTTTTTACCATTTGCATGACTAATACTTGATAAAAAATATTTAAAATATAGAGTGATAATATAGATGAATTTAAAAATTAAGTGAAATTATATGGATAATAAATTGCTTAATGTCATTTTTCTTCAACAACTAGTTTGCTGAGGTTGCATCGTTAAGTCACAATATTGTAAGGAATTGATTATAACTTATAAGGGAAACTACCATGCACTATTTAGAGAATAGTGAACAAGTGAAGGATTTCAGACACAGAATTTTGGCTGAGCCTAAGCCAGTGCTTCTCAAAATTATCCTGAGACCCCTTAACACTGCACAAATTTAGATGTCTCCCTCATTGCACACACTATATTCAACTCTGAGTAAAACTCCAAAAGAAAGCATATTGAAGCCAAACAACACAAAATTCAAATAAATGGAAAAAAAAGATACTATATTTTGCATTTGTTGAATTATTATTTTTTATTTTCTCAAAAATGTACAATTAAAAGGTATTTTAAACTGTGTACAGATAGAAGGATAGCAGTTAGACAGTTCTAAGTTTTGTTAACTGACCAGCCAACATATCTGTCAGGTATTTTGGTCCAGGGCCATTATGGGATTTATATAAAATTTAAAAGTATTTTAAAATGGATTCTGAATAAAACTGTAAGCTAGTGTAATAACATAAGGACTGGTGTGACATGTTCAGTTTTCCTGGTTTTGGTCAGAAGCTTGGCTGAAGCGTTTTTTATTAGCTGCAGCTTGACTTTTTCGGAAGACGAGTAAGAAGTCCATTGCAGGAATCCAGCTGGTAATGAATGCATGAATAAGCTTCTCTAGGTCTTGCTTGGATACAAAGGATCCGGATATGTTTTTTTTTTAGATGGTAATAGGCTGATTTAGTAATTGCTTTGATGTGGCTTCTTAAGATCAGAATCCAGAATGACACCAAGTTTTCTGACGTCATGTTTACTTTTTAGAGCCCTGGAGTCAATATGCATTCATCTTGGGTATTTCATCCTTATTGCCAAATACAATGACCTCTGTTTTGTCTTTATTTAACTGAAGAAAGTTTTGGCACATCTAGCTGTTTATTTAATTTAGGCACTGGCACAGGCAGTCTATGGGACTGAAGTAATTTGGTGATAGAGAAAGGTAGATCTGAGTGTCATCTGCATAGCTGTGATAAGCAATGTTGTTTCGAATTATGTAGCCTAGTGGGAGCATATACAAATTAAACAGTAGAGGCGCAAGGATTGAGCCTTGTGAAACTCCATGTGTCATGGCAGTCCAGTTAAATTCGTAATTCCCTATGCTCACAAAGTAGCCTCTGCCTTCTACATATAATCTATACAGTCCTATCCACTTTTTTCCAGCCTGTTGAGGAGTATGTTCTGTTCAACAGTATGAAATACAGCAATTAGATAAAATAATACCAATGTTGAAACTGATCGAAAGCAACCTTCTCTATTACCTTGCCAATTAAGGGGGGATTTGTGATAAGTCTATAGTTCAAAACGGAGTTATCCAGGTTGTTGTTCTTTAGGAGATGCCTAAAAACTGAAAAATGCCAGAATTAAGTGAGGAATTTACTATCTCTAGTAGGTCAGATCCCAGACAACTAAACACACTTTTAAAGTGCCCCTATTATGGATTTTTGAAAATTACCTTTCATGCAGTGTGTAACACAGCTCTAAGTGAATGAAAACATCCTGCAAAGTTTTAAATCTGAAAGTGCACCATGTATAAAGTTATTGTCTCTCAAAAGAAAGAGTCGACTCTGAATCATTGAAACGAGTCGTTTTAAAAAAGAATCCCAAGCCGTTTCATGTTGACGTCAACATGAAACATTAGCATATTGCCCGCCCACTTGTTGGTCTTTTATTGAAAATAATGTGACAGCCCAAGCTTTAAGTAGTAGCAAGACCAAAGCCAAAGTGAGTCCTTCTACTGCTGTGGAAAAATCACCTTCACTCAGCTTAAATGTGTCATATGATGTTGCTAAAAAGAACATTATTTTGTGTATTTGGTTTAATGAAATGTGTTTATGCGGTTTAAGGTTAAAAAACCACATACTGTACATTATTGTTTCTTCTCTATCCCTGCCTTTCTGAAACGATTTTTTCAAAGCTCATCGGTCTGAAAAGTGAGGTGTGCTGTGATTAGCCGAATACCTCAAGTGTGTGACGGAAATGTTATGCCCTTACCATACTGTGATGCCCTGTCCGGCCGGAGCGACGAGACAAAAACATTATAACCCATTATAAACGAGGCATTTGTTACATCCAGTGGGGACATAATTATGGATTATAATGACTTATACTGTATTTTTAAGCCTTGCATCGCTTTAAACGCGTTGTGTCCTCTTTTGGAAGGCCAAACAAAGTAGTTTAGCTTTCACAATGAAACACACATCGTCACACATGGTGGGCTTGAGTGAGGAACGGCCGGCGGGCTTGCGGCAACCACATGTGACGACCCTGGGCTAGACTCTGCTTCGTCCACGGTGAAAGCCTATCGGCGATCCACATCGCGAAGTTTATGTATTTCCTCAGCGACCAGCACGGATCAGCTCTAGGCATGACGAAGCAGATATCGTCCTCTTTTGGAAGGCCAAACAAAGTAGTTTTGCTTTCCCAACGAAACACAAAGCTCTTCACGACATGGCGGCGGCAACAACAATACTACAGCGAGAATGAAAGTTACGCCTTCTTTCTTTGCGTGAACATTTGGGAGGCGTTATGCAAATCTCACATTGTGACGTAAGACATGTGGGGGCGTGTTAGAATGAGCCGTTTTAGGTAGGCGTGGTTGACCCTTAACGTTTATAAAGAATATCTCTTTGGATTTGAGACTTTAGTCTTTGCAACTTTACAGATCTTCTTTATGCACCAAGAGCTTGTAACACTTCAAAGAGAAAGGAAAAATTGACACATGACCCCTTTAAAAAACCTGCATAGGGTTATTAAAAAATTAGCAGCCCCTCAAGAGGAGCTGTTTAAAAGGGTCCACCTTGATAAAGAAATGAGGCTAGAGCCAAGGTAAATGTAGCTTCCAGTCCCCACTGAATGATAGTCATGGTATATATAGCCTATTTGATACTCCCGTGGCCAGCCTGGCCACACAAGTCGCTGTTGTGACCAAAATCAGGAAGGGCAGCCAGGGGTGCTGGTGACCAGGACTCTAACCATATTGAGTCAGCATGGTGATAGTACAGGTGTAGATATGGCAGCATTGATTCATCTTCAGTCTGCCTCATCTCAGGCCTGGGGCAACCCAGTTACTAGTCAGGCATTCGATAACTGCTTGCTATTTATGCAAAAATGGATTAGAGATCCCAGTGGTTGATTGTCTGGAGACCAGTGTGGAGTGTATAGGGCAGGCCTAATGTAAATGTGTGTTTGTTTTTAAGGATTCAGAACAGCAAGGAGAGGTGGGAGTTCCTGGTATCATTGGCATGAACATATTGGGGGAGCCTATGGGACTACTTATGGCACACAGAGGTGACCAAGCTAAACCGCATAGTGTCTGGAGAGGATGCCTGTGTGATTGTACTGGCAGCCACTCAGAGGGAGACAAACAATATTGCTCCAACAGGTAGAATAGGTTATGTCAAGGTGGCAGGGTCCAAGAAAGTTACCATTCTGCCATACACTTGGGTAATTGTACAAGGGTGTTTCCGAACTCCAGTTAACAGTCATTGGCAAGCTTAGTGGAGTCCACAACAGGGGTAAATCTGCCAAGTGGGGTTCTGGTGGCTAGTGACCCTGGCAAAAGAAGGTGCCAGTTCGGATATTAAATGTCACTAGAAAGTAAGTTAGGCTTCCATTCAGAGCTAGGCTTGATGAAGTTCATTAAACCGGTAAGGATCTTCCTGAAAGACCCGATCATTTTTGTGGAGCAACAGGATGCTCTCTGTGTACTGGTTAAAAATGAGCAATCCAGTTCTCATGATGGATTATCTGACCCTTTACCAATCCCAATAGAGGTTAATCTGGAACTTTTGCTGGCCAAACATGTGTTGAAATTGAGGGCACTTCTAGAGAAACAATGTGTTTTTAAGCCAGAGAGTGACTATTGGCCACACCATTGCCTTTACTCATTGCATCTCTACTGGTGATGCCCAGCCAATAAAATGACACCACAGACATATCCCACCACAAGTCTTTCAAGAAATCAACATGTACAGGACTTTGTTTCCCAGAGCATCCTTAAGTAGTGTTGCAGTCCATGGGTTTTCCCTACAATAATTGTTGTTGCAAAGGATTTTTCTGTGATTACAGAAGGCTGAATCAGGTAACCTGTAAAAATGCGTACGCTCTTCCTCGAGTGGAGTAATCATTTGATGCCCTAGGAAATGCCATGATCAAGTAAAGACAGCAGTGACTACTCTATTTGAGTTATTTGAGTTGACCTGCAGGCCATTTGGGTTATGCAATGCTCCTGCGACATTTCAATGCCTTATGGGGGTGGTCCTTGGACATTTGACGATAGACACGCTCTTTCTTCAAGAAAAGAGTCAAGTTTCTAGGTCATGTTATGTCCAAATAGTACAGGTGTTGGAGACCTGGAGATCTCTAGCTGCTGCATTTTGGACCAGCTGGAGTTTGTTTATTAAGCACGCAGGGCAACTACCCAATAAAGCATTACAATAATCTAGCCTTGAGGTCATGAATGCATAAATGAACTTTTCTGCATTTGACATTGACAGCATGTTGTAATTTAGAGATATTTTTAAGATGGAAAAATTTGCGAATGAAAGATTGCTATCAAAGAGCACACCCAGACTCCTAACTGACAATGAAGACAACGAAGCGCTGCCATTGCTAGAGAGTATTCTAGGTCATTGCGCATTAGGGGGCCTGTTGAAACTTAAATGGCTTGGGGAGGCAATGGAGATGCTGCCTCCCACTGTAACTTTAACCACTGGGGTCGCTGTTGGAAAGTGTTGGACAAATTTGTGATTTATGCACATTTTTAATGCTGTATTTGCAATATTTTTGTTGTTGTTTTTGTACTGAGTTATTTTCTTATTCAATTTTTTGAGGAGGCACTACCTCCCTTGCCTTCTCTTGGTACCATTGGTTTATACAAAATTTATACAAATATGTTTATAATATAAGGGATTTACAAAGACTTATGTAAGACTCTTACATAAACTAGTTCATATATGAGAGGCTGGCCAGGTTTACATGGTAAGGTGACTTATCTGGGTGCCAACATCATGATAGGAAAGCTCATAATAAATCATGATGTGACAAACATAAATGTATAGTCATGATTTTAAGAAAGTAGTGCTATAAAAATAGATTTTTGATGTCAAAGAGAGTGGTATAGGGACAAGCTTGAAATATTTCTTTCATCAAACAAGTACATCTAGAGTTCTGCATCATAAATCTGTTCTAAAGCTGTCAATCATTTCAGATATGTAATTCCCTAAGTGTTTCAAATAACATCACTATGCAGGGTGGGCGCCCTCATTGCTCATGTCGATCCTGCCCCTGATCCACTCCTCCGTACCCCCCACACTTGGAGAGTATTTACATCTTCAATTCTGCTCCAAGATTTATTTGCCTAATACAAAGAGTACTTATTTTGATGATCGTAACAGCCGACTCCGAGGAATCACAGGATACATCACCACCCCAGTGCCCTTCTGTAATAACCTGTGCTGATTTAATAAATCATAGTATGCATGGGTACAAAAAAGATGAATGTGGCAGTTATAGGCAAGAGCCGTAGTTACATAGATGGGAGGGTGGGTTTGGTAGTGAGTACTGAATCTTTATTGGCTAGTTGTTGTTGGCTAGTAGTGCTGGGGCAGCATTTCCTTTGGGGTCATTTAACAGAGTTGTTGATTCTATGTTCAATACATCCTAATGCAGAATTTTGAACGAGTCAATGCACAAGCCAATGCGTGTGTTCAGTCCTTTTAGTGTGTCTAAGGACACTGACCGGAGCTTCTAACAGCAGATTCAGTGAAGTGATGACTTTACCAATAGACCATTTAGGAGAACATATCACAGTTACATCACTGCAGTACTGTACACACTATCGTGGAAGACGAACAGTGGTAACAATTGGAATAAAACGGGAGAGATTCACTGAATAAGGAAAAACTGTCTTGTGCCTTTGGATATCAAAATCAGAATGCAAAAAAGATGGGTGCAAAGGCACCTATTGTAATTTTTTGTGTTTTTATTCTACTTCTTTCTATCTTCTTCCACCATTGAATCTATGGCAGCCCATAAGGCTGAATCAGGTAACCTGTAAAAATGCATACGCTCTTCCTCGAGTGGAGTAATCATTTGATGCCCTAGGAAATGCCATGATCAAGTAAAGACAGCAGTGACTACTCTATTTGAGTTATTTGAGTTGACCTGCAGGCCATTTGGGTTATGCAATGCTCCTGCGACATTTCAATGCCTTATGGGGTGGTCCTTGGACATTTGACGATAGACACGCTCTTTCTTCAAGAAAAGAGTCAAGTTTCTAGGTCATGTTATGTCCAAATAGTACAGGTGTTGGAGACCTGGAGATCTCTAGCTGCTGCATTTTGGACCAGCTGGAGTTTGTTTATTAAGCACGCAGGGCAACTACCCAATAAAGCATTACAATAATCTAGCCTTGAGGTCATGAATGCATAAATGAACTTTTCTGCATTTGACATTGACAGCATGTTGTAATTTAGAGATATTTTTAAGATGGAAAAATTTGCGAATGAAAGATTGCTATCAAAGAGCACACCCAGACTCCTAACTGACAATGAAGACAACGAAGCGCTGCCATTGCTAGAGAGTATTCTAGGTCATTGCGCATTAGGGGGCCTGTTGAAACTTAAATGGCTTGGGGAGGCAATGGAGATGCTGCCTCCCACTGTAACTTTAACCACTGGGGTCGCTGTTGGAAAGTGTTGGACAAATTTGTGATTTATGCACATTTTTAATGCTGTATTTGCAATATTTTTGTTGTTGTTTTTGTACTGAGTTATTTTCTTATTCAATTTTTTGAGGAGGCACTACCTCCCTTGCCTTCTCTTGGTACCATTGGTTTATACAAAATTTATACAAATATGTTTATAATATAAGGGATTTACAAAGACTTATGTAAGACTCTTACATAAACTAGTTCATATATGAGAGGCTGGCCAGGTTTACATGGTAAGGTGACTTATCTGGGTGCCAACATCATGATAGGAAAGCTCATAATAAATCATGATGTGACAAACATAAATGTATAGTCATGATTTTAAGAAAGTAGTGCTATAAAAATAGATTTTTGATGTCAAAGAGAGTGGTATAGGGACAAGCTTGAAATATTTCTTTCATCAAACAAGTACATCTAGAGTTCTGCATCATAAATCTGTTCTAAAGCTGTCAATCATTTCAGATATGTAATTCCCTAAGTGTTTCAAATAACATCACTATGCAGGGTGGGCGCCCTCATTGCTCATGTCGATCCTGCCCCTGATCCACTCCTCCGTACCCCCCACACTTGGAGAGTATTTACATCTTCAATTCTGCTCCAAGATTTATTTGCCTAATACAAAGAGTACTTATTTTGATGATCGTAACAGCCGACTCCGAGGAATCACAGGATACATCACCACCCCAGTGCCCTTCTGTAATAACCTGTGCTGATTTAATAAATCATAGTATGCATGGGTACAAAAAAGATGAATGTGGCAGTTATAGGCAAGAGCCGTAGTTACATAGATGGGAGGGTGGGTTTGGTAGTGAGTACTGAATCTTTATTGGCTAGTTGTTGTTGGCTAGTAGTGCTGGGGCAGCATTTCCTTTGGGGTCATTTAACAGAGTTGTTGATTCTATGTTCAATACATCCTAATGCAGAATTTTGAACGAGTCAATGCACAAGCCAATGCGTGTGTTCAGTCCTTTTAGTGTGTCTAAGGACACTGACCGGAGCTTCTAACAGCAGATTCAGTGAAGTGATGACTTTACCAATAGACCATTTAGGAGAACATATCACAGTTACATCACTGCAGTACTGTACACACTATCGTGGAAGACGAACAGTGGTAACAATTGGAATAAAACGGGAGAGATTCACTGAATAAGGAAAAACTGTCTTGTGCCTTTGGATATCAAAATCAGAATGCAAAAAAGATGGGTGCAAAGGCACCTATTGTAATTTTTTGTGTTTTTATTCTACTTCTTTCTATCTTCTTCCACCATTGAATCTATGGCAGCCCATAGAACCACTAACAGAAAAGTTATTAAATTTGGCACACAGATGGAGGACAGTCTGTACATTAAACACCACAAATTTGTGGTCTTTAAGTCAAACCCTCTAGTGCCCAAAAATTGCTACTCATGTTTATGCAAATAACCTTTGAACCACAAGGGCTAGAAACAAAATAATTGTGTCTTCTTATTGGCTCATGATGAATTGACCCTATGACGTAATTTTCCATCATAAAAATTTTCCCGCCATTTTGAATTTTCAGAAAAACCTATTTTGTTATACTTGTCCTAGAAGGTTTGTCTGATTTTTACCAAAATTGGCTCAGAACATCTTCAACCTTTTTCAAACCTTCAAAAAGTTATGAAAAGATTTTCAATAGACCAAACAGTTTATGTATAGCGCATCAACAAATGTGACAAAGAGCACACCAAAACGGACATTAGGCTGTATCTCTGCAATGCTTTAGCGTATTTAGACCAAACTTGGTACCCATTATAACAACCTTAATCTGAGGGTACATGAGCAGTTTTTTGGCATAGTGCCACCTACTGGTTAAGCTGTTAAAATGAACACGCTTACATGTTGCTGCATGAAGTCTGTTTGGAAAGCTTACATCAAAGTATGACTGGTTTATCAAAGAATCCACAGTGGAATGTAAGTGGAAAAATTCCCTCATGGTCGCGATTTAACTAAATTAAAACAAGGGAATGAAGTAGTACACAGTGTAGCCGCAATTTAATTAAACTAGGGAACAAATTAACAAGTCATGGGAACAAATTCATAATTTGTGACAAAAATGTCATGTCCAGGGCTCTGTAGGATTCTTTGAAAGGT